TCCCTCCTCACTCTCCTTTCTTTTTTTCCTCCTTTTCTTTTCTCCCTCTTTCCCTTATTCTCTTTTCATCCTTATATCCTCCTTCTCTCCTCTTCCTTTCTCCTCCTTCTGTTTTCTATCAACATTGATTCCCCCTTTTCTCCTTACCTTCTTCCACCCTTAATTTCACCTCATGTTTCACTCTTTCCACATCTCTCTTCCTTCGCTTCCTCATTCTTCATTTCTCCATCCTTGTTCCTCTCCATCCTCTGACCATTTCTCTCCTCTTCTTCCTTCTGCCTATTTCTCCCTTCCATCTCTTCCTCATTCGTATTCGCATCCTTCTTCCTTTTTCTCCATCCTTTACCTCCTCATTCTCTCATTCCTCATTTTGGCCTTCCTCCTTTCTTCTATCTTCCATTATTCCCCTCTCTATTCCTCTCCGCCATCCACCTCATTTCTCTTCCTTTCTTCCTTATTTCTCTTCCACTCCCTTTATCCTTCCTCGCCATTTACTTCTTTATTTGCTTACTTTTGTCCTTCCTTCTTTCATTCCGTTTTTACCCCTCCCTGTCTTCTGCTATTCCTCTCCTCATCCTCGACCTCTTCTTGTCTCCTCTTCTTCCACCTTTCACCCCCTCATTTTCCTCCTCTTCTTGCCATCTCCTCCCTCTCTCATCTCCCTATATTCTGCCCCATCTTCCTTCGCATTTCTTCTTTTATTCCATCCTTCTTCCTCCTCATTCTTTTCCTTCATCTTCGTCTCTCTTTTCGCTATTCATCTTATTCTTATTATTTATCGTCCCCGGCCCCTTGTTTTTTTCTTTTTTGCTTTTCTACTTCTTCTCCACTTCTTTCCTCTCCTCACCTCCACCTCCTTTTCCTCCCCCTTACCCTACCACCTTCACCTCCACCTATACCGCCTCCTCTACCTCTCCCTCCCCACCACCTCCTCCTCCTCCTCCCTCCACCACCTCCTCCTCATCTATCTCTACCTTCACCACCTCCTCCTCCTCCACCTCCACCTCCTCTATCTCTACCTCACACCTCCTCCTCCTCCTCCTCTACCTCCTCCACACCATCCTCTACCTCTACCTCCACCACCACATCCTCCTCCTCTACCTCCACCTCCACCAAATCCCCTCCTCTACCTCCTCCACCACCATCCACCTCCACCTCACTACATCCTCCTCCTCTACCTCCACCTCCATCTCTTCCTCCACTACATCCTCCTCCTCCTCTTCCTCTTATTCCTCCACCTCCACTTACACCACATCCTCCACCTCTACTTCCACCACCACATCCACCTGTACCTCCTCCTCCTTCTCTTCCTCTTATTCCTCCACCTCCCCCTCCCCCTCCACCACCACATCCACCTCCCCTCCACCAAACCCCCCTCCTCTACCTCCACCTCCCGCAGACGCCCTGGACGCCTTCGAGCCGGAGCGCAGCCTGGCGACGGCGGGCATCTTCGCCACGTACCCCGGGGCAATGACGGCCTCCAACGGGACCCTCGTGACGGACTTCCTGTCGAATGGCAACGGGATGGGAGACCAGGTGGGTGGGCTTGGCTCCGGGGCGGGCTTGGGGGCGTTGCTTGGTGTTTTGTGTGTGTCTCGTGTGGTATGCCTTTTTTTTCACTCTCTCTCTCTCTCTCTCTCTCTCTCTCTCTCTCTCTCTCTCTCTCTCTCTCTCTCTCTCTCTCTCTCTCTCTCTCTCTCTCTCTCTCTCTCTCTCTCCTTCTCCCTTTCTCTTTGCCTCCCAAACTTTATTTCTGGTTTCCACGCCCCCCCCCCCACTCCCTTCGCTTGCCCCATTCCTTCCTTTTCCTTTCTCCTTCCCTTGATTTTTCTTTCTCTTCCTTTCCTTTTCTGTTTCATACTGTTCAGTTTGTCCTTCCTTTTACCCGTTTTCTCTAGTGGTTTGTGCTAACCATGAACATAAGTTCATTCATTCTTTGCCATCCTTAAAGAAAGAAAAAAAAGAAAAGAAAAAGAGGTCTATTTCTCACACACTAATCCCTTCCGAAAAGTAAATAATAAAAATCACATTACATCTCAGCAAGTAACAGATACAGCTAAGACTTTTTTCATCTCTGCCGCATTTTTTCTTTAAAGCCAAAGCTCCCTTTTTAAAAAAGCCCAAAAGGCCCAACCCGCACTCCCCTCGCCTTCCGCAGGTGGTGGGCACGATGCTGCTGCTGATCTGCGTCTGCGCCATCACGGACCCCCGCAACATGGAGGTTCCTAAGGCCCTGATTCCGCTCTTCGTGGGCTTCACCGTCCTCAACATCGGCGTGTGCTTCGGCTTCAACTGCGGCTACGCTATCAACCCCGCCAGGGATCTCGCCCCCCGCTTCTTCACGCTCATTGCGGGATGGGGCGAGCAGACCTTCACGTAAGTCGGGATGGGTCCGGGTCGCTTTTCCCCGCGATTTTTCTTTTTTCTCTTTTGGGGTGATTTTTGCGATTTTTGCGGAGGGAAATCTGGAATATTTTGATTTCCCTCCAACACTTTTTTC